ACTAAAGTCTATAATATCCCTAAAGTAACCCTCCGTAATCGAAGGAAGAGTCGACCTTTCTAATGCGACTAACTAGCGAATTCTCGAAATTTAACTAACCTTAAAGAATCAGTCCTCGTACGAGAGGTCCTTAACCTATATGCGTTAGGATTTCCTCCCCAACTTAGTAGTGTAGGAGATATGGCTAATAAACTACGTACGACGCGTAGCGCGTTACGCGTCGGACCTCGCTAGGCATCGAACTTTATTAAACGACATTAAGAGCTATAAACGCGATTTATACGTAGATACGACTACTAGAGAGCCTAATACGAAGATCTAGTAATCATTTAAGCCTAGTTTAACCTTATACAGAACGTAATAGCTAAGTATAGGATCCATAAAGATAACACTTAGAACTTTAACGAGACTAGGTTTATGATGGGCCTAATCTTATCCGTAATGGTTATAACGAGTTCTGAAGGGTATGGAAAGGTTAAGATAGTATAGCCTAGCAATCGAGAATAGGCTATAGTGATCTAGGGTGTTAATTTATATAGCTAGGCTATACCGCCTTTTATTGTGGTCGCTAGTAAGTATCACCTCGCATTATGGTACCGAGACAGTCCCCTTCTATCTAACTAGGTTATCGCACTTAGCGATAATAGATGGATAACGAACGAGATTAGTCTTAATTAGGTTAAATACTTTAATAAATATAGTCGTAGTTATACGAAGGGTACGTTTCGTCTATTAATCCTAGATAGCTATAAAAGTCATCACTTAGTGGATTTTAAGGCCTACTATAAGGAGAATAACATTATTACACTCTATATGCCTATATATTCATTATATCTACTTTAATCACTTAACGTTAGGTATTTTAGTCCCTTAAAGCGATCGTACGGTAAAGAAATCGAGAACCTAATCTAGATATACGTAACCTATATTACTAAGGTTGAGTTCTTTACCGCGTTTAAGAACGCTTTTTTTACTTCCTTCGGCGAAGATAACGTACGAGGAGATCTCCGAGGAGTAGAGCTTATCCCTTTTAATCTAGATACGGTCCTTTCGAAGCTAGATATAAAGCTTCGGATGCTAATACTACTAACACTCCCCTCGCTAATAACTACCCCTTAAGTCTCTAAGACGCTATAGACTACGTACGAAGTAACTTTATAGTCTGATTTTATTAAGGGGAAAGTCGCTTAATATTAAGATAGCTCTCTAATAGCGATTTATAAGGCGATAGACTAGATAGTGAAAGGTACGACTATTATAATGCATTAAATGGTATTGATAAAGGATCGTATCCGGGAGCTTAAAGAGGTAAATCGTACGCTAAGTAAGCGTCGTAGAGAGAAAAGGATACGGATCTAATAAGGAGGATCACTTACTATACGAGATGCGTAGGATATGATCGATTAGAGGGATGTGGATAAGTAGGTGGAGTAAGAAAAGCGTGTAAGTGGTAGTCGTACGAGAGGGGGTAAGCTAACTCAACGACGATGTGGTACCTGCGGAAAGCCTAGGCACAATGCACGTACATGTCAAGAGGATAAAGAAATATCTAATGTATCTAGTTCTGAGTAGATTAAGTGAATTTATCTTAGGTTAGTGGTGTAATTGAATTAGATTGTCGTACGGTGGTCGTTAGGTGCGCGAATCGCTATGCTGCGCGACTCGCTATGCACCCACGTTACTAGTTTATAATCTTCGCCTAATCTATTAAGAAAGATAGATACCTAGAAATCGTTATTGAAATTATGTCTAAGTGCCTCAAAACCTAATCGATTAGCGCGTAGTTTATTAACGTATTCTTCTAGTGTTACGAACTGTTTAGATAGGTAACTATTGACTAGTATCGTCTATCGATAGACTACCGCGAGGCCTTACTATTCGTAAGCTTATTTTAGCTTTATAAGAATATCCTTTGCGGTCTTCTTATATATAATAAGTAGTTTAACGTGATTAGTATAGAGATTGTAGATCACCCCCTATGCCTTTAAGTTCACTATCTCCCATTTCTTAAATCTCTTAATCTCTTAACTAAGCCATTGATCATAGTTCGCGTTAAGCGTAGGGATATCAAAACCCTTTTCAGGTCGTAGTTACTTATGCGCTAGGAAATCTAACGTTACTTTTGCTTTTACTTTAGTATCCAGTGTCTCTGGATTCATAACTACCGGTCGTGAGATCGCAGTATAGCACTCCTAGGCGCGGAGTTCTATCTTATAGGCTGGTAACTAGACTGCGTAATTAGACTTACCTTATAGGATTAAGCGATTCTTGCGATTATTGGACCCCCCTATGTTACCTATTGTTCCACCTTTTCTGCTTTAATTTGCTTAGGAATTCGTGGTGGGATAGGCTAGGTAGGGGCTGTGATCGAGGATTAGTAGGAATTTTCCGATTATGACTGATTGGCGCTCGGTTGACGCTCTGCCAGAGGCTAATTCGGCGATCTAGGTATAGCTACGCACCCCGCGGTATTAGTCTATCTAATGATAGAGGGATTAATAGGCCGATCCGTGATAGAATCGCCTGAGATTGGTGGGCGCGATTTGTTATTAGTTTGACTGCCTACACGGTTCCAACTAGGATACCGTTGCTGCATAACCAATAACACAACCCGTAGAACGAAGGATAGGTTATTCCTGCTAGATAGCCAGGAAAGGATGACCTAGGATGAACCAAACGACGCTTGAGTAACGCGTAATTAAGCGTTTAGGCGCTCATAACCTGTAGAACTAACTTCATGAATTGATTGATTGTTCTTTCTAGTGGGAACGGTCGCACGGCAGTTTGACTTGCCGGCGTGTAAAAACTAGCCGGATAACCTTCCTAATCAGGTTAGGGCAATACTCAATGGTGAAACAATCGGCGATTGTGGTGTAATGGGCTGGCGTGGTGGCCAAGTTGTACAGTCACGTGACTGTACAACGTGCTTTACTGATGGCGGAGTAGCAACAGTTTTGATAGTCCTCAAGCAACAGCAACAGATCAAGACGGCATTGCTTCAAGATAGCGAACAGAGTGCTAGTTGTGCTCGAAACCTTCTATTCTTCCTTTGTTACTGTTTCTGCGACGTGCTGCAGGCAGTCCTGCGATCGATTCTGCTACAGCAACTACACGCCGACCTCCATTGTTTGGTTTGTTTGTGTTGTTGTTGTTGCTGTTAGCAGGCGAGCGAGACATCGTTACGACCAGAGCACCGCGCCCATCTACCGGCCCCTGGACAGGCCCCTATGCGTTCTAGTACGTATACGCCAACGAATTCGATCCCCGTACACCACAAGACTAGAACGATCCTCGAAGCTTAGTGATGTGCCCATTCGCCGGCGGCTTAATGTGCCCATTGGCATGTCCGTTGGTATGTCCATTCATTGTTTCCGGTTCAACACTCTTAACGCGTCGCGTTGCAGCGGCCACCGTGTCATCATCGCCGTCCTGAAGCCGGGAAGAGATTTGCGCGCCATTATCTTCGACAACGGTAAGGCATTTACGCGGTGGAGGCTTCCCGTACGTGCCAGGGGTTTCGGCATAATCCGGACGCACTGTTTTTCTGCGGTGAATTAGTATCTGCGCACCAACCACGATTTGTAGCTTAGGGTCCCATACCGGGGTGTTTTACCCGGCTGCGTGCGGGTGACTGTTATGCTGAAAGGAGCCGTGCGCATAAGAATAGACTACAATAATGAGCGACTATACGCGACAAAAAAAGGGGCAGCCCTCGGAAGCACTCACTGCGCGTTTTCGAAGGAATACGTCTGACCTGGATACTGTATTCCAAGACAGCATCAAAAGGAGCGACATCCTCTCCAAGCCCAGGTGCGGGCCAGCTGATGCTGCATCCAAGTGTCGTCACTGTCGTGAAAGAATCGCCGCTGGCGCTCATGCGCAGAAAGGCGGCAAACGCGTTTCGAGGAAATGCGGGGGGATTTAGAAGGCGTAACATAGCGGGGTGCATGAATTTGCATCTGCATCTCGAACCGGACGCGTCGTCGGGCGTGATCGAGGGTGCTGAGTATCACGGCGCAATCTACAACAGGAGAGATCGCTGTTACGGGTGCAATTGAGATATGAATTCTCAGACGGAGGAGTCTAAAACCGGTGTGACTGCGACGTCACAAAAGACAAGTGTGCGCTCAGCCTCGTGTGGGATAACTAGCCTCGTGCGGGGTAGCCTGTCACGCTAGCCGTGATAAACAGGATGCTAAATTGCGAATGGCCGAGTTTGCTTAGGAATTCGACAGACTTAATAGGGCGATCCCCTTTCAAAAGCTATACTACATGACGTGCCTGGGACTCTCTGAGAAAAGTGACTATCTGATCGCGATGAAATTCGCGGAGAAGGGAGAGATGGACTCCTAAAGTAGCGTCCGACCCGTCCTTCGCCGTCTATCGGGGGATACATAGTACCTACAGTATCCTAGTCCTTTCCCACCTAGCTTGCCGCGCCATCTCCTAGGACTCCTAAGGACCTTCAATTCGTCAAATAGTATCTGTTAACGGTGAGCCCCCAAAAACAAATAATGCTCGCCAGAGAGTGGCTTTTACATTCGGGAGCGAACCCGCTCTATCCGGTGCGGCAGAATAGAAATCTGGGTGGACGGTAGAGATTTCCCTCATTCACTATCAATCTTGATTTCACCTCACCTAGACCGTATTTTTCTTTTTTTCACCCTTACCTTAAATTCAAAACTACTCTTCTCTTTTATCTGACCACACTACGCCTACCTTAATCACGACCTTCACCTCTCTTACTGTACTACGCCTCGTTCTCTTCGCTGTGACTACGTCGCCAGCCTTTCTTCCTCTCGTTAAGATAGCCGACAGCTCCTCGGGTAAAGCCCGGCTCCTTTAGTAACTCCGCGGTGAGAACCTAGAGAATCTAGACCTCTATGATATTATCAATCGCCACTAGGGCGCGGATGAGGATAGCCTCCCTCCTACTAACTTCGAGGGCCTCGTCTAACAATTTTACCTAGATAATTACCGGGAGGTGGGACACCTACGTAATGTCGTGGGCCGACTATAAGAAGAAGCTACCTAGACTACGCCGACATAAGGAGGAGGTGAAGGCTAAAACTCAGAAGGAGGAGGCGAAGGCTAACAACACTCAGAAGGAGGAGGCGAAGGTGCGGCGACGGATAAGTCAATAACTTAGGATGAACTTCTAGAAGACCTAGAGGACAGACTTAGGCGTCTCCTACTCGCGAGGGGCGGTAACTTCGACGAACTCCCTGACTTCTTACGCGATATTCTCATCCGTAACCCACCGGAGGACTACAACGATAAGGATCGCGCCTATAAGAGGTTTGGAGATTCCACAGAACCAGAGGCGATATACGACGAAGAGACGTACGAAGAATTGGCCGAAAACGACGAGGGCGAGACGCACCCCCCCGGCCCCCCGCCCAATACTCTCCCGCCTAACATTTTCCCGCGCAACCCTCTCTTACCCTATGAGGTAGATAGAGCCATTGAGTGAGTGGTCGACGCAATAGGCCATAACCGTGCCCAGCAACAGTTCGAGGAGTACCGTCGTACCTTCAAGGAAATCCTCTCCAAATGCAATACGGGCGACGAGACGTTAGAGAATGCGCTCAAACTATATACGGACAACATATCCTACCTTAAACCGCGCCGAAGTGAGATTGTGGACTACATACGGAAGGAGAGCTATGCGACTAAAGAGGAGGTACGTCGGCAGTGTCTCGCACTATCGACGACCGTAGAAGAGATCTAGGATAACTAATTTATGGTCTGGGCACTTACGCAGTCCCTCCAAGGGTAAGATGAAGCCACTATCTTCGAACACAGTCCTGACGACACTTACGCTGACTATGTTAAACCGTCCCTCTCGAGTGAGGATGGGTTAGGAATTCCCACTGACGATCACTCTGGCCGGGCTCGGCTGTTTTAGACTGGCGGCGACAACCGAACTGACCTCAAGCGCCCTGCGTCCGAAGAACTAGGCGGCGGCCGCGTTCCTCCTCCTACGCCGGCTGACGATGAGGATGACGTGAAGTTTGTGGCGAGTACCACTATCCCCGTTGCCGCCGCTCCCCCTACACTAGCTGACGACGAGGACGACGTGACGTTCGTATCGAGTACCACTATCCCCGCCACCTCGCGCGGACTTAAGCCCAGACCGCTTAATCATCCCTCTCCCTCCGGTCACGGTCCGGTTACCCAGTCGCTATTAGAGGCTATGGAGGAGTGGGATAAGCGATTAATGCTCACCATTAGAAATACGGAGACGTATAGTACTTAGGCCCGCTTTATCCTACGCCCTATCCCCCTATACGTCTACCTACCTCCCCCTTATATATAGTAACTCTACACATACTAACAGGAGGCTGTCCGCGTACTCTTTAGCGACCTTGTCTACGGGAAACGTGGCGCACTACTGCATGGTGACCCTAGTATTGGTAAGACGCCCATTACCGTGGCACTACTCAGCCTCTTCTGGCGTATGCGTCGTTTAACTGACCAGAAGAACCTTCTCCCTGATAAGCTCCAAGCTAACGCTACGTTAATTTTGTGCCCATCTAGCCTAGTGGAGAATTAGGTCCTCGAACTCTAGAAGTAGGAACCAGAGTCCGACCCCCTATATCGGACCGGGGGATATCTACCGGTGGGGACAGTGTGGTGGGATTCTCGTCCTTGGTATAGAGGCTTTCCGGGAAGGTGTTGGCGACGAGAAAACAAAAGATGTACTCATCAAGAAGCCCGCCCTTGTGTTCATTGACGAAGTCCACCGGGTGAAGAACCCTACGACAAACCTAGCCCGCGCGGTAAAACTTATCAAAACCCCCCATTGCGTCGGCCTGACCGCCGACTTCCTCAGTAACACTATCGACGAGGCTTTCGCTCTCGTAGAGCAGGTCGCTGCCGGCTGGTTCCCTACTAGCTACCGTCAGAGCGTCTGCGCTGGAGATACACTATAGTAACGATAGTGTCATCACCTTCTTCGGACGACGACGAGGATAACGACGACGGGACTATCCCCGCCGACGGTCGCGAAGTGGTGACCAAGGCTATTTCCAAAATTTTCCGGGACCACCGAAACTGGCCAACTCCCACGCTTTTCGCGCCCGACCTGTCATACCGCATCTAGATCGCCCTTAAGATTGTAAAGAAGGCCGTCGCTCCCCATCCATAAAAGGAAAAATGCCTGATCTTCACTCAGCATACTAATGAATTGTCTGGTGACGCTACTACGTGGTCAGGGGTACTCCGTCTCCTCCATCCACGGCGGAACGACCGCGAGTAAGCGAGTCCAGCTTACGTAGGACTTCAATCAGTCTGACCAGTCCGACGTGATGGTTTTGACTAGACGGGTGGGAGGCGTCGGCCTGAACATCCAAGGGGCGAGTCGCATCATCTTCATGGATTTCCAATTCAGCCCGTCAGAGGACGAGTAGGCGATCGGTCGCGCGCACCGCCACGGGCAGACGCAGCAGGTGACTGTCTACCGTTTTGTGGCTACGGGCACGTTCGAGGAGCGCATTCTCGGGATGGTGCAGATGAAGAGTGACTTGATCGCGGTCGCCAGCAACGAAGACGAAATCCACCGCGAGGCGACGACGAACCTATTCAAATCCTTCCAGTACGTCAACCCTACGGGCGCAAAGCTAACCCCCGACTACGTCCTTCGAGGTGATCCTTACGTTCTTAAAGCTCTTATGCACCCTCGCCCTCCCGCTGACGTAATTAAGGTTGAATCATACGGCGTACCATACGACCCCGCCTCACAGGGACGTCATCGGACCGACGACTACAGTGCCGCCGTCAAGACACAGGAGTTCACTCGCATCAAGACAGAAGCGTTAGGTCGTATCACAGCATGGACAAAGCTTGGAACTAGGAAGAGATAACCGGTGGAGGGCTGTGGAATATCACCATTTAGGCGTATGGCCTAATTAGGCCTAGCGTCTCATCACGTGACTAGTTAACGCTACTAGTCTATACTAGATCACGTGATATAGGTGGCGTTAAGGGTGGCGTTACTAGTGGTGTGATTTATTACTAATAGTGCTTAGAAATCCACCTTCTAGGTGTTTCTAGCGCTATCTAGTAGTGTTTTCTTTTGTCTATATAAGAGCGTTCTCTCCTCTCAGATAGTTAACTTAACTAAGCTTCCTAACAGTCACGTACATTACCTAAAAGGGTACGATCCTATGAGCCAATCTACTCTATGTCCTCCGAACAAGGGCAAAGATCAAAGCGAGTCACGAGGAGGAGCAAGATTGATCCAGGAAGATAGGAGTTGTGGGGGGCCGTGACCAGCGTTGCCAGGAATCGATTGCTCGATAAATCGATTCCTGATTACTCAGCATCGCACCTTAAGGAATCGATTCATCGAGTCTAAATCGATTCCCTATAACCTAATTGGCTAGAATGACGTTATTCCGTACCGACCTACCTAATGCGGTATAGGCCGTAGCTATCCTAGTGTTTCAGGTAATGCGCGGCCTGAAAAGTCGACACCGCAAGACGATTATGATCGTCTATAACCGTCCTCTTTAACTAACTAAAGACCCTCTCAAGTTTAGTAAATGTTATAGGTATTAATAGAGCTCAAGAAACCAACTCTCTCTGCATGAGGCCACTATTCAAAGAGCCAGTCGAGAGAATACTAAGGCGTAGTATTACCATCATGGAATCTAAAGCTAGGGTTCCGGCCCCTAATCCCTAGATCTCGATTATATTATGCATTCATTACTCTCTCGCTAGAAGAGTCGATCGTAAAATCTCCCCGAGAACCCTCTTATATAACCGCTTCCATCTCTTACCTAGTAATGCGTAGTAAGACGACGAGGGCGGCCATCACTACCATTTAGGGAGAAATTCATTATCACTATCGCCTAATTATCACAGTATAGAGACACAGAATATGTTTATACGTCGTCGTCTTAGGTAGTCACCCTTAAAATAGCCGATGATATATATTAACGCCCCTCCCACGTCCATCGTCAGTCTCTTAGTTACAGGATGATTAGTCTAGTATACGACTGAAGGGAGCCCGTAGCTTCTAGGCGGAGAGCATCCTACGGCTCTCGACTAAAATATACCTATCTAGTAATCGACCCTATACGAACCGATAAGAATATTTTATAGAGGCGTAATTATAATATAGCTAGTATTATTAGGTATAGCGGATATAATTACTTTATTAATTCCTACGAATTTATATAAGGCATATCCTTTCGTAACTCTAATTTAAGAGACGCTAGTATCATTATAATCACCGACTGAAAGGGCCGGTATTACGCGTAGTGTAGATCGAGGTCTCGTATCTATTATTATATATCTAAACTTAGATAATCTGGAGCTCGTAGCTAAAGGCGCTCTCCCTAAGCGCGTATAGATTTATTACTCCTCTACGGCGTAGGATAGGCGGATCTACGCTTATAATATAGACGATTAGTGTAGTGAGACTAATGAAAGTCGTACTATAACTCCTCATCGCTAAAAGTAAGACTCTACTAGGTACATTAGTTCACTTTACGGTAATATATTCTTATGAAATCTAAACGAGACTAGCCTCTTCGTATTCCTCACCTACGTCTAGCCTTTAGTAAGCGGATTGTATAAAACTAAATATCCTTACATTCCCAACTCCTAGCTAAAGCCGTGACTATGAGAGAGCCCGACTTCGTGTTACGAGCTGCTATATGACACGTGAGGTGTCCACAGGCAAACCCGCGGTGGTTTACTTAGTGATATAGTAGGGAGGGACGCTATAGCTAAGACTAGAAACTAAGTGTATAGTATATAGACCTATACGTATAGTAGATGATCGTGAGGAACTTAATTCTATATAACTATTATTAACTACGAGGAGAACTATATAGCTAAGTGCGGCTATATACTACTCGGGATACATATTTGATATATTACTCTATTAGACATATTAAACATATCAACATGTTTCTGAGCCTATCTAGGCATATTACTCTATTACCCCGCTAGGTTATGCTAACATGTTTACTAAGACACTAACGTCTGACATATTCTCCTTAGTCGACCTTCCTCCTTATCTTTCCCCTTAGCCTCCCATATGGTCGGTTCGTAACAGTGGATTTCTAAGCACTATTAGTAATAAATCACACCACTAGTAACGCCACCCTTAACGCCACCTATATCACGTGATCTAGTATAGACTAGTAGCGTTAACTAGTCACGTGATAAGACGCTAGGCCTAATTAGGCCATACGCCTAAATGGCGATATTCCACATGTGAGGGTTTGGAAAGAGTTCTGCAACTAGCTAGCTAACCTAGTAATAAGGAGGACAAATCTGAGGAGAGAGAAGGAAGGAATGGCTATCCTTCCTTTCTCCTTATATCCTCCAACGCGCCGTAAGGAGGTAACTATTGTCCTCACCTCCTTGCTCCTTTCCTTGCGTACTTATTCCAGCTCCTTGCCTTCCCTTGCGTACTTATTCTAACTCCTTACCTTCCCTTACGTACGGTGTCTCAGCTGTCAGGACTTTATATCCCTTATACCGTGTGCGTCTTGACCAATCAGGAGGCAGCATTTCGCCTGTACATTGTATAGGCAAATCTTGACTAATCAGGAGGCAGTATTTCCTGGCGTTGGTCTTGGCGCTGGTTCGCCAGAACCGAGCCTTCTCCTGGGTTCAACCCATCACACCACACTTTTTAAGGATAATATATAGATTCTAAGATAGATTTATCTCTTTATAAGTCTTCTACTATTATAGATTTAGTTTTAATAATCTTAAAAAGAGATATATCTACCCTAAAAATATAGACTTATACTTATATACTACTTAAATACGAACCTAAATATAAAGATAGATATTAACTTCTATATTATACGCATTATTTTCTCAATAAATCGCATAAAACTATAGTCACTATAAACTTTTAAAAACATCTAAAATTATAGTATAAGATTAAAGTTTAAGAGGATCCTAATATAGTTTAGTTATTAGTACTTTAAAATCTTTAAAGGCTTTATTAATAAGTAGCGATTTATAAATAAACGTATAAAATAGATTCTTAAGTCTTTTTAAAAGTACTTAATTAAGAGATTATTAATAATGTACTTATCTTATTAATTATTATATAAAATCTTTTATTTTAAACTATTAAATCACCTAAATTCTATACTTTTTGTGAGGGTTTAGAAAGAGTTCTATAACTAGCTAACTAACCTAGTAATAAGGAGGATAAATCTAAGGAGAGAGAAGGAAGGAACGGCTATCCTTCCCTTCTTCTTATATCCTCTAATGCGCCGTAAGGAGGTAACTAGTGTCCTTACCTCCTTACTCCTTCCTTACGTACTTATTCTAGCTCCTTACCTTCCCCTACGTACTTATTCTAACTCCTTACCTTCCCTTACGTTCGGTATCTTAGCTGTCAGGATTCTGTATCCCTTACACCGTATACGCCTTTAGCTAATCAGGAGGTAGCATTTCGCCTATACATTATATAGGTAAATCTTGACTAATCAGGAGGCAGTATTTCCTAGCGTTAGTCTTAGCGCTAGTTCGCCAGAACCGAGCCTTCTCCTGGGTTCAACCCATCACAATCCGCTTAGATACTGAATTTTGCGTTGTGGTCACTGCTAAGCATACTAAGTCTTTATCGATTAATTGATTGATCGAAAGATCAAGGAATCGATTCATCGATCAATCGATTGATCGATTCCTGGCAACGCTGCTGTTCACTTATGGAAACAGGGTGTGGCATGCTCTTAGATCGAGGGCACACACGAATATCGTGACTACAGATATAAAGATCTAGAGGTAGGTCTCAGATTGGACAGAGGAACGGCGCCACTATCAACGCTAACCTAGATGGATCTCTCCAGTCGATCACCTCAATTTCGGATCATTTCAGCATGATACGAATGGTCCTGCAGCCACTCATTTCGCACGTCGGCCACTGCGGTGGAGATTGAACATGCGTGGCGCCAAGGCAGAATGCTGAACTCCTAACTCCTAAACGACGATGCTTGCGACCCCCTCGTTGTGCTAAATGCTACTTGACTGATTAGAGCTTGGCGGGGTATCTCAGCGTCTCATATCTCGAGAGGTTCATGGCCACGGTACGCCTCATAGCCGCGATTTCGGCATCTTTTAGCCTACGACCTAGACCTTGCGATCGCGAAATTGCTCTGATTGGAGACGAAACGCTTACGCGCACGGCTAGGAGGGTTGAAGATGGTTCACCGCACGGGAGAACCAGGCAGACTAACCTCAGACGTAAATGCTATGTCACCTAATGTGGCCATCCAGTAGGCGAGTCAAAGCCTGGGCGATGACACGAGACAGCTTATTGTACTTATCTTAAGCGTCGACAACTCTTTGGAGATTATCGAGCCTTCAACCTTACAAGACGGTAGTCGGCAGTGACATTGAGTGCATTTTGAAACGATACCTTGGTAGCAGAGCCTCTCTATCTCCTACAAAGTACGGAGCCTTGAACCTGAAACTTCGTCATCGTCGGCCTCAAGTGATGACTTGTCAATCTTCCTGATGCCACAAGAAAGAGAATTTGTGGGTCAAGTGGCAATGGGTGAAAGGTGAAGTTCTGGCAAAAGGTTTAAATTCCAGGGTGGCGGCTGTCGAGTGCTTAAGTGCCTGCGGGTGGCTGGGAGTGCCCAAAGTTTAACAGTCTCGAAGTGTTCTCCGGCGCAAGTACAGTGTCTGGTGTTGTCATTTGAAAAAACTATTTTTCTGTCTGACAGAATTCTTGGCAGTGTTGACCAATCACAAGCGCGATGTGGAGGTCGCGCGATATAGGGTTGTTTTGCCATTTGTCATGACAGCGTGACCACCACCACTAACTTGCCTTTGTTCCCCGCACAACCCCTCACCACACATGCACAGAGCACTCAAACAC